AGGAATCGACTGGCTAAGTAGCATCCTTTCCTGCAGAACTGCAAGACGTATTCAGTTTACTGTCCACTGTAAGTTAACAGTGTGCCCTTACTGCCAAAACTAACAGCACACTGGGCTGCATTAGTAGAAGCGCTGCCATCAGATTAAGGGAAGCGCTTATTCCCCCCTATTCGGTACTGGTAAAGCCACAGCTGAAGTACTCTGAGTCCAGCTTTAGGCCCCTCCCCGCCACAGGAAGGATGTGGACAAAAAATTGGAGAGTCCAGTTGAGGGCAATGAAAATGATTACAGGGCTGGGGCATATGACGCATAAGAGGCTGAGGAACTGGAATTATTTAATCTGGAGAACAGAAGACTGAAGGGAGATCTAATAGCAGCCATCAACTACCTGAAAGGTGGTTACAAAGAAGATGAAGCCAGACTGTTCTTAGCAGTAGCAGATATTGGAACAAGGAGCAACAGTCTCAAGTTGCAGCAGGGGAAGTTTAGGTTAGGTATTAGGAGAAACTCTCTCAATAGAAGTGTAGAAAAACAATGGACAGGGCTATCCAGAGAGACTGCAGAATCTCCATCCTTGGAGGTTTTTAAGCTCCAGCTAGACAAAGCCTTGGCTGGGATCTAGTCGAGGAGGGTCCTGCTTTGAGGAAGAGGGGTGAGGAGGGGGCTGAACAAAACTAAACTCCTGAGGTCCCCTCCAACCTTAACATTCAATCTGCTATTGAATCATTGAATGTAACAAGCACATCTGACAAAAAGTCATTTTCCTGTTTCATTTTTGTGGGCATCACAGGAATCAATGAAATGGAATGATATTAGGTCATCCTATCCATCCATGTGACAATAATTATTTCCTCCAGTAGAAATCTATTCAAATCTTACCTTTAATTTCACATACTGCCATCTTTATGCTTCCTTTGCTGCCTTTGCAAACATCATCTTGTGAATCGTAGTATGACAAAATCCCATTGTCCAAAACAAACCAGCGAGGCTGCCAACCTAGGAAAATCAAAAACACAAAAGAAAAAGTGTTTGTATAATTGCAAATAAGGTTCAATTAAGAAGTAATGGTATTTACCCATTACAACTGTTAACAGAAAAAAATTACAAAGATGCATGTACTGTGCTATTCCTGTGATGCTCACAAGAAGTAAAAAACCCAAAACAAAACAAAAAAAACTTTTAGAAACCAGAAGTGCTTCATAAATATTATCAAGATATTTCACCCTGACTCTTTTTGCTACATACAATTAGCAATGATATTTCAACTTTTACAATCCATTCTTTAGAACAGTGAATTTTATTTCAGCAGCCAATGTATTCTAAGGCTTGTATGTTATTTCTCTCTCAAGAACCATCATATTTCAAGTATATTCTTCAGTGGGCCTCACCAAGATCATGATCAACTGATCTAATGAACTGCTGGCTAGTCTCCTCCACCTACAAAACAGTACACATCTCTATTTTGAACTTGACAATTAAGAAAACCAATTACATAATTCTCTCTCACCCACAACTACCTATCCCACTTCCCAGCAATGATTTAATATCACAACAACATACTGGGGACTTCAAATAGGCCCTAATAAAGAAAACTTGTACTGAGAACTATTCTTTTGTCAGTAGGGCCTGCACCAGTCACCACATTCAAAGTTTTCACTGATATAGCTACACCAAAACTTTTAGACTAGGGACAGCTATTACACATAAACTGGTTTAAGTGATCAGAAACCGGTTTAAACCTGTAATAGAACAGACATTCAGTGCACATAAACCAGTCTGAAAATGGCTGAAACTGGTTTGAGATAAATCTGGTTGAATGTAGTATCAGACTTAGCCGATTTGGCAAAAAATGGTTTATGCAATGTCTGTCCCAGACCCCTTGCTGGTTTAAGATAAACCAGACACCTCCAGCTTCCCAGCATGCTCTATGGGCTGGGCTGGGCTCTCTGCTTCACAGCAGGACTGGCCCCTCCCCTCTGCTCCCTGGCTACAGCTCTGGCAGAGACTGCAGGCACAGCAGGGTCTTCCTGGCTCCCCCCGCCCTACTTCCCCCCACCCCACAACTGCTCAAGCAGGAATGCCCCCCACCCATGTCCCACAGCACGGACCCCAAGCCCCACAGACCCTAGGCATATGGTATGCTAGCTAATGCCAAGAGGTGTCTGTATGTCTATCCAATTTCACTGGGACAGGCAGACAGAACAGTGACCACTTAGGGCTTTTTGATCAATAAGTCAGCTGGTAAGCTGTTTGAGTTTGAACTAATGGAGAGAGGCTATTGTTTTGCTGATGGGGTGATGAACACTGTTATCAGCCCCCAGCTGGCTTACTTGCCTGTCAGTTTGCTGCATACAGTATAAAGAAGCAAGGAGGGAGATTGAAAAGCTCCGTATCACCAGCAGATGCATGCACTACACACCCCCTTGCCTCAGAGTGCTAGCAGGGGGTTGGCAACACTCCCGCCTCTTGAGCAGGCAGCAGGGAAAAGCCTGGAATGGTGCAGGCAGATCTCCCTAATCAGAGGTCCTGTCAGGGCCTGGCCACATCCTCCCACCCCAGCTCAGTGCTGTGCAAGGGAAGTTAGGGCTGCTCTAGCGCCCCCTGACTTCTAGCTTGAGCCCCTGTAGGCATGTGCCTGAATTTCCTTAGTCCAGAGAGAATGTCTGTCCAGTTACAAACCAGTTCAGCCTAGCCAGGTTAGACTAACCTGCAAAGACTGAATCAATTCAGGCTTCTGAATGTCTGTCCCTAGCCTTAAAGTTTAGACCATACTTCCATCTTCAATACTTCTACAAAACAGCAAGAATAAGATTACTAAATAACAAAAGTTAAACTACTATTATCTAATAGAGTACATGGCAGCGCAGTGATTTTTTTTCCAAGCTGTTCTTTTAGGCTTGGGGAAAAAAAACTCTTTCCCCACCTCCTCCTCCCCCCAGAACAGCAGCAGAAGTGCAGAGCTCAGCTGGGCAGGGTGTGGGGTGTGAGGGAGGGTGGGGGGTGTAGGGACCCCACACACTGCCCCCATGGCATGCAGCCCCCACTGCCTGGCAACAGTAGCAAGGGGGCAAGTCAAAGTGCTCATGCCTGGCACAGGCATAGCTCCAGTCAGCACTGCATGGAGAGAGGGAGCAGAGCTTGCCTTATCCCCGCGACTGCTCCCTGAGCCAGAGCCTGCAGCTCCAGCCCTTGCAGCAAGGAAAGCTCTGCAATGGAGCCCTGCTTTCCCTCTGAGTGTGGAGCTGCAGGCACGTGGCACAGAGCCACAACAGAGGCAGCCAGAGCTGCACTGGAGACAATGAGCATAGTCCTGCTCAGCCTGCCCAGCCACTTCTATCCCGGGGCTCTGTGCTACATGCCTACAGCTCCATACTCGCAGAGGAGAAGCCTTGAGCTGGAGTCCACACAGAAGCAGGGGTCCCTCCACTCCCAACAGAGTGTGGGGACCTGCATGACAGGGAGAGGGGGAAGCAGCTGGCTCTAGTGTGGGGCTTCCCGCACTGTGAAAACTGGAGCTGCAGGCTCAGGGAGCAAAGATGAGGGGATAAGGCAGGCTCTGCTCCCTCCCCTGTGCAGCGCTGGCTGGAGCTGTGCTTGCACCGGACACGAGTGCCCTGACTTCCCCACCTGCTGCTGCTGCCAAGCAGCAGGGGCTGCATGCCATGAGGGGAGTATCTGGGGGTCCTTACACCCTCACTCTTCCTCCCTCACACACCCACAATGAGCCCTGCTGAGCTCTGCACTCCCGCTGCCCCTTCAGGGGGAGAAGCAGGAGAAGGAGAAAAAAAGCCCCCCCCAGCATGGAACAGAGC